TAGATTAAGTTCCCAAAGTTTCAGCCCTGTAGCTTTTGTAGGTCTCGAGATGAAAAACTGTGACAGACACACACACGCACAGACAACCCCTCGTCAATATGCGTTTTCTGCTTTGCATAGCTGCAAAAAACGTATAAAAAGGTGTGCAGTAAAACAGTTTGCAATGAACCTCTCCCTGGTTTTGAGAACTCACTGCTGCTTCAATTTCAGGAAGCACTCTGCGTGTTTCCAGGCCAGTTCTCACTCGCGAAATCGGGCAGCAACTAGGAGTGGGACCGGACGGTAAAAAACAGACAATCGAGGAATAGACCGCTTGGCCCTAGTCTACATAATTTTTCCTCGACCAACGCTCGTGCTGCTTCATTTCCAGCCCTTCACAGATCTGAACTCAATATGTCCCGGGATCGATTACTTGAAATATTGTAATACATGATAGCCAAAAGAGTAAAAGAATGCAGCAGGTGGCCAATCCAGGCTGATGTCAGTAAAGTAACACGGAAAACTGTCGGTGCACTAGGAATTCATGTGCTGCTACAGCAATAGCAGTGTATGGGAAACACAGGACATTCAGGCCTTCTGCGTTATTTTTGTTGTTCCGATGAATGTGGGTGTACCAATTCAGCATGCTGGCCAGTGATCAAAGAGCAAAAATCTACGTACTGTTCTCGTCTTGCTCGCTCTCATTTCAAAAAATCATCCAGCAATGAACTGAAGAGGTACGCAAAACGCAAAAATGAACAGAAACCTTCCAGTAGACAAGCGAATACACACCTCATTTACAGCACATCCAACTGCACCTCAAATCTCAAGTGCACACTCTTGGCTCAGTACACCGGCAAACAAAACAATACCAAAGAGCAATGTACGCACCGAGAATCCTTGCCACAAACTGTCGCGAGGTCAAAGTAAACGCGAGCAACAAGTGGAGCAGTTAGCTGCACCTCATCACAGTGCTGGTAGGTCGTGGTGAAATTATGCTCAACCGAAATCAAATCTCTTCTGCAGAAGCTTTTTTCAGGATTTCAGCACACCTCTCCCCAGCTACAGCAGCTCTGAAGTTGAATCACTGTGACAGGCAGACAGACACAAACACACACATACATGATCCTGACAGATCCTTGCAACAGGTCACGTAAAAATGCATAATTAACCAAGGCGCAGGAAGATGCGCACGATGTGGGACAGCAGAGGGGGGCGAGGCAGACCCAAACAGGGAGAATGCTGCATGCGCACTGGTAAATCAAAACGGAAGCCTTTGCACAGATCACTAAAATCAAATTTTATTTTTGTGCGCTGCGCTCAGCATCCGAACTGTCAGAAGTGGCTGGATTCCAAGCCAACAGTGGCGAGCCTCCCTGAGAGAAAGTGGGGAACCAACCGGCTACATCTCTATTTTAAAAGCACAGAATTAGCAAGTTCGATCAAACAGGGAAGCAGGACAGATGAACAGCTTCCTGTCAGAGCACATCAGTAAAAGAAGAAGAATCGAGCAGCCAGCGAATGGGAGAACAAAAAAAAAAAAAAAAAACATGAAGCTAACACAGTATTTAGGATACAATCTTCAATTAACAGAAGGATAAGGAAAAATTCCGCAGAATTACCCGCTTTCACTGATGCACTTGCGTCAAACATGCTTCTGCGCAAAATTCCCAGCCCAACACCATTTCGGCGGACACTCCCCAGACGAGACTTATATTGGTGAAAGGCGCACGCAAATAACACATTAACTTATCACTGGGCGCAACTGCATCACTGCGTTAAATCAGTCACAGTGCAAATTAATCCTCAAAGATGAGCAGCTTTACAGAGAGAACATAATACGCTCATTGCCTAGGCAAAACGGCGAATCGCAGTGAAATATCGCGAACATTTTGGTAAAAAAAAAAGAGAGAGATAATAAAACAGAGCATCAACACTCATACACTACTCATTCAGCAAGAAGTTACAACGAAACCCAGAAATGCGCATATTATCAGTATTCATAACCTCACAGACGCGCGCCAGACATTCACAAATGAGAAAATTATACGCTTTCACAACAAACAGCAAAAAAATGAATAGCTTTATACAGTTACCAGAACTCTTTTCAAAAAAACACCTAAAACGATTACTGCTTCACATTGTTATTCTCCTTCTCTTGCGAATCAATGCCACCGCCAAACAGTGTGGCTTCCTTGAACAGATAATGGCAGCGCTTCGTCAACTGAGTCATCTGAAAAAAAAATTTTTTTTCGAAATGACCCGGAACAGGATAACATTCCTGTTGCCGTTAAATGGAGATGCAGAAGTGCTGGCACCAGCACGGACTTGCAATGATAAAAAATTCAGAGCTGTGCGTTTGGCGTAGGCCCCACCAAGTTGTCGCCATTTTAGCAAAAAAGCCCGGCGATTGGAGACTCTGTGTGCGCCCAACAGCTCACACAGGCGACGGCCATACTCCGAGCGCATCGCTTTTCATCTTATTTTGTGATGGCCACAACTCACCGATTGCCAGAGGTGCCCGAACACCACCCAATAACGTCCTCCTTACCAAACGCTAATTAAAACGCTGAAGCTGCAAAAGAAAAGCCTCATCGTGTCAACTTTGGACAGGCTGTTGGCACCTACTGCCGCTCCGGCTAGTTGCAGCAATAGTGAGCGCCAGCAACGGCAGTATGCCCCGATTTGGAATTACAGGGATGGGATGGATCCAAGAATTGAACGGTGCGGCGAATAACAACTGTTCAGCTGTTCTGGGGTCAGATACAGTTTAACGACTCGAACGACCCGTGTTTCCCCTTTCCGCCCCATGTACAGAAGGGGCTCCGTTTGCAGTAACAACACGGTTCTTATGTTTCCGCAGTCCAATCAACAAAGAAACGTTCAATGAAAATGTAAGCAGTAAAAACGCAACAGAAGTGACCTCATCGGCAGTCCAATTTCCGTATCTGCCGTACAAGACGCCGTTGTAAAACGCTTCCACATTTCTCAAAGTGATACCAGCCAATTTGTTATCGTCTAACGAACGCAACAACCAATTCTTAGTCACGTCGACGCTGCTTTGATCCAGAAAAATGTTCACTTCAGCTACTGAAACACTACTATCAGTGAGCCTTGAATGATTTTCGTCCAATGGCACTCGCACTTCTGTCAACCCAACTTACAGTCCACCCTACTGGCTTGAGTAGCGCAGTGTAAAATGGGACAAATAAGCCGGATACATTACTGATCGTTGCACTGATGTTGGGCAAAGCGGGGTATCCATGAGCGCGCGGATACGGCAAGGATGTTCGGGAACGTCGATGCCCCGTGATAATGCTTGATTTATGCGTTAAAATTCTGTATGTAAATGTGCGCGATCAGGAATTAATTCTTTGTTTATTGGTTTTTTTACATTGCCCAGTTGTCTCGTCGGAGCCATTAAATTAAATTTTAATTATGTTCGCCATGTCTTCAACTTCATCAGGGCGCGGCTCGCCAGGGACAGGTGAGGCTCACCCAAAACTGATGGCTTTCAGTTCGCTGTGTATTAGTAAATGCTAAAGCTAGGGGATGTGGTATACAGCGTTGGTCAGGGTGCCTTCCTACCATTTCACGACTGTGATGCTCGGCATACACCCAAAACATCTAGAAACTGCTAAATCGCTGTCAACTGCTTCTGTCACGAGCACTGCTGAGCCAGTAACCGCCTGAGGAGACGGAATGAGCGTTAGAGATATCAGCAGGCTGACGATTAGACCGCAAGGCACCGGAGAAAGTAAGTGCCAACTAGATGCATGAGGAACCAGACTGGTCAGATCTGTCAAGCAAGAAAGTATGTATTATAACAGCACCAAATAGAGTCGAAAGAAGACAAAAGTTGACAAAAACAATCAGGCTGTTTTACCACAGACAAAAGATGACCCAATCAAAAAAACACAAAGAAGTGCGCTTAAATCTGAAGCAAATCCCACAAATTTTGGAAATTTAAAAAATTGAGAGAACAGAGACTTTGCTCTAAACTCAAGAAGATCGCACTTAACACTGATTTCCTCCAGGAAGCTCTGAAACAGATACAAATGATGAGCAAGAGTTGCGGTGAGGCCCTGAAACAGCTATCATGGGCCAATTTCAGATTCTGAAAAGACTAGCAAGCAGCGAGTACAAACCGGCAAGTCGATGAGGAAACGAATTAATGTTGGCGCTTTTGAAGGCAGCATTATATTCCAAGGCTGATTTTGTATCCGGAAACAACTGTGTCGTCAGATCAACAACTAATTCCTTGATTCGACCTGCCAGCTGTGCTCCGTCAACTGAAACGAAATTATACAAGAACGCGAGCTGGAACGCATTAGGCGGGCCGGTGCAACCATGCGTTTTTTCACCATTTCGTGCTATGGCAAGATCGAAAAGAATCATAGGAGCTAGGATTTCTGACATACTGGCCCTTGAAGTTCAGGAATTTAAGCTACATGGCATGTCAGTTTAGGAAGTTAAGCTATGTAGCAAGTCATTTATAGATGTCAGTTTCAGTAATCCGACAAGCAGAAAGTTTTTGGTGTACGAAAAAGGCTCCACTAGATGAGCTGAATTTGAAATCTTTTAGTCGCGCATGAATAGACAGCACTTCCTTCAAATTCCCGCCTTTTCTCGTTCCCAAGTTAGCAATTTTCCCGCTGAAACTCCCACGTTCCGTACGTGAGACCCCGACGGTCCTAAAGAGCTGAATTTGAAATTTTTTGGTCGTAAATAAGGAGGGAATATTTTCGTAAAGTTTCAGCTTTTTAGGTTTTCTTGTCGCCGAGTCAGCAACTTTCCCACCGAAACTTTCACGTGTCCATATGTGAGAAGTAGACGTGCATAACAGTTGACATTACGTCCTTGGAGTCGCACTTGGCCAGGAAACAAAATGGCAAAATTTTAGCATCAAAATTTACGTGGTTGGCGAGTAGAACAGACGAACACACATACACACACACAAACATGCACACACACACACACACACAAACACACGCACACACACACGAGGTCATCGTAATATGCGCTTTTGCCGTGCACCGACTGCCGGTGCGAGGATGCGTTTTTGCACAGTTCCCCGCAGGCTTTTGTCATTAACGGTAACGGTTTTTCCTGCAAATGCTTCAAGCTAAAATAATTGAGACTGGCCACCAGGGCTATCTGAAAACACCCCCTTAAAATTCCAGTTTTCTAGCTTTTCAGATCAAAGAGCTAACAAGTTACCCGAAGAAGATTTTGGCGGGCTCGTACGTTGGTGCCACGCGGGTAAGAGCGCTCATTTTGGACAGAGGGGCTTGTACACAAATGTAAATTAAGTTCCCAAAGTTTCAGCCCCGTAGCTTTTGTGAGTCTCGAGATGAAAATCGATAGAGACGCACAACATACGCACAGACACATACACACACAGACAGCTTCTCGTCAAAATGCGTTTCAGCATTGCATAGATGCAAAAACGCATAAAAACAATATTCCTTCATTTATTTTCATTCACCAACCTCAGGGAACCAATTTTTATGCATTCTGTGCTGTGTAGCAGCAATACAAAACGCATATTGTCGGGGAGGGGGGAGGACGGGGAAAGGGGCTGTCTGTGTGCCCGCAGCAATTTGTTCGCAACTTTCAACTCGGAAACTATAAAAGCTAGGAAGCTGAAAATTTAGGGGAATGTTCCATCTATGTGTAACGCCACAATCTTAAATTCAGTCTCCCACGTACGGACCCGTAAAAGTTTGGGCGGGTAAAATTATTGTCACGAGAATCACGGAAGCTAAAAGACTGAGATTTTGCGAACATATCTCCTGCCCACGTGCTACCCAGGAAATTTAAATTCAGCCTTCTCTTGCCCGCGGGTAAAAAGAATGGCCCCGTGAAAATTTTGGCGGGTAAATTATTATCTCATGAACCACAAAATCTACGGAGCTGAAATTTTACGGTAATGATCCTTTGTCCATGTACAAACTTGTAAACTCAAATGTAGCGTTCTCGCGCTCTCGGGTACCAGCTACGGCCCGTGAAAATTTTAGTGGGGAAATTATTGCCTCAGGAATCACAGAAGCCAAGAAATTTCAATCCTGTGGTAGTACCAGCGCGTGAGATTTCATGTGTCAATGCGTAAAATTTTTAACTGTTTTTCAACGTTTCAATTATTTTTACGCAAAGTACAAAACAACGAAAATCATTAGCAGGCAACCGTTCGGAAGACAAATTGCACAAAACCTAAGATCACACCGGCTAGGCTGGTGCGCGTTCCTATTTATTCCTGTATGCATAATAAGGAAAAAAGAAGCGAAAATTAGGCAATGCAAAAACGCATAAAAAACGATATTTCATCTTTTTTTCACTCACCAACCTCAGGGAGCTAATTTTCCCTCTATGCACACATAATAAAGAAAAAGGAGGCGAAAATTAGACTTACAGTAATGTAAGTATTTGGCAGCAACAACATGGAGCTCCGGATTATTTGCATCCAACTCCATTGCTTTATGCAAACATTGCAACATCAGTAGTATCTGCAATAATTGGTAAAAGCAGCTTTTTCGTTAACAGCCGGGACCAAAAACGATTCTTTTCTTTTTTTTT